CCTTCATGGACGATATAAGGGACAGCGTGGGGGCAATGACTAGTAGGTCATCAACATAGAGATTGACAATTGTGAACCCATCGGGGTCGGTTTTTGAAAGACACAGCGATCTTTGTGAAGACGAGTGAAGCCACGAGACAGCATGAACTCGACAAATGTCCTGTACCACACATGTGGGGCCTGTTTGAGGCCGTAGAGACTCTTCCGCAATAGGCAAATGAAATCACGCCGAGACTGCGGATCGACTAGAGAACCAGGGGGTTGTTCCATATAGAGTGTACAGTCAATGCTGCCATTCAAGAAGGCTGTTTTGACATCCATTTGATGACACTCAAGATCGTACACAGTGACGAGAGAAAAGAGGAATCGCAGGACCTCAAGACGAACAATTGGTGCGAGTATTTCGGTGTAATCAACACCATGTTCCTGCAGGAAGCCCTTTACAACGAGTCTGGCTTTGTAGATGCCACCAGGTTTGACTCTAAAGACCCATCGACAGGGAAGAACCTTCATTAAACGATCTCGACGTACTAGCTCGTTCGTCTTGTTGGACAAGAGGGATTTATACTTCTCAGGTGCGGCAGGAAGCCACTGCTCACTGCGACTCTAGGCATCACGCCAAATCCCAGGATCGGGAGATGATTTGGATTGTGTCCGTTCCGCTAAAAGCGCATTTACAGTGCATGCGTCCAGGCAATTTGTTTGACAGTGGAAGCCGTTTTTGAGAGACGAAGTATCAAGTGGCATCGAGGCCGTTGCGAATGCCAAAGGCAGCTCAATGCGTCGAGAATTCTTCACAGCTTGGAGTCGTTGGACTTCAGCGTACTGTCGGCTGATTGTACAGCGGGGGTGGCGAGGTCGTCAGTGGCGAATAGTGACGAGCCAGAACAAAGTGGGTTGAGTCAAAAGGAGGGCTTGATAGTGGGAAGTCGCGTTCAATACTTCGATATATACGCATGAAACGCCGAATGTCGCTGTCCATTGTAGTGGAATTGTCGTCAAGGATGTGGGATCCATGAGACGTTATGATGAGAGAGGTGTGCATCGGAGGCAACGGTGTGATAGGGTTGCCCAGGACAAAGACGATAGGGCGAGAGCCGTTGTCACCGAGGGAATGCAGGGGGGAAGGGGGCATTGGGCTCAAGCGTGGGCATGAAGTTAGGATCATTAGCCACCCCCTCCTATAATCAGCGGCCGCCTCAACGGTGTTGACAGTTGGAAATTCGGACTGCCTAAAGGTGACATCACGGGAATAGGTGAGTGCGTGCGAGCGTAAATGCATGAGGGTATAACCTTTCCGATTATCGGGGAGGCCAACAAACATGGCTTTGAGCGCTCGAGGGTCCAGTTTGGTGGGCTGTGCCACTTTCTGGATATGAACGAATTCAGTGCATCCAAACGTCTTGATATAGCACAAGCTTGGTTGGGAGTTGAACACCTTAAAGTATGGTGATTTCCCGAGATTGGACGACGAGGGGGTTATGTTAATCAACCAGGCAGCGTAATCAAGGGCGGCAGCCCACAGGAACGTGGGCAAGGCCCCACTTATTAGCTTAGTCTTATCTTCTATTATTTTTTCGATGAGCATTGCACGCATCTTTTGCACAACGAGGCCAATGCGGCGCTCGGCAACGACGTTCTGGGCGGGTGAGTATGCAAACGAGAACGTGACTATGGTATGATACTTGAGGTTGATGATGCGTAATAAACGCTCATATTCTTTGAGTTATCGCTTTGAAGCGTACCGATATCAGTCGGTTGGGTGTGGTGGAGGGTGATGATGTCATACTTAAAGATGGACATCGCCGCAATGCGGAACGACTCGTATGCCTCGCAGAGGTTGGTACGTCTGTGGAGAGGGTACACCCACATAAAGCGGGAGAAATCATCGACGAAGAGAGCAAAGTAAGCCGCGCCCCCAGCAGAGAGGATGGGGCTTGGGCCCCAGATATCAGAATGCACCAAGGCAAGGAATCTCGTGGCACGAAATTCGGCAGACGAGTTAAAGGGGGAGCGTTTGGACGTTGCGTACGCACATGTGTCGCAAAGAAAACCCTTTAAATAGCGTGCTTTAAAGACCTGCAGTTCAGGATGGTCTTTGATCATGCGATCGAGCGCACCAATGCCTGGATGACCGAGACGGCGATGCCAAAGGCGTGCAAGTGCAGCGTTGGAGAGTTGCGAATCTGCAACGAGGCCATGAAGACAATCGAGGGAGACTGAGAGTGCCTTCGGATCAACGATGTATCGAGAATGGCGGGTCAGGATTCCATTGAGGGCCGACCAGAACGCGCCTTCGGACCCAATGTAGGGTGAATGCGTGCAAGGAACTGCAACTGGAGAAGGTGTGGGAATGCTTGCTTAGCGGTAAACACCAGATTAAGCATGCATATGCTATTGATCCATTACGGCATTGGACACGCGGGACTTGCAAAAATCCTCAAAGCTCTGTTCAAACGAACGAAACTTCGTGAGGAGAGCCATGGCGTCGAGGGGGTCGATCGCAGGAGGCGATTTGACAGGTGTGCATCACCCATATGGGATGGCATGAAAGGAGTACAGACCCATGGCGTTATTGGAGGCCTCAAGGACATCACTAAGGGGGGTTGTGATGGTGCACACACCTCGGGAAGGGAATGTGATGGCATAGCCATCACATTGGCGTGGCTCACGGAGTGCAGGATAAAGCGCAACTGAGGGCAGTGCAAACCAAACGTCAGGCTCAAAGCACGGGAGCGCAAGGGGGTGGTGCGGTTGCGTGACGACATCAAAGTATCCATAGCAGGGACCCGTATCCCACCACGGGCAGTTTGGACCCGATTTCGACGGTCAGCGACAGGGTGCAGGGCACGAAGGTCGCGAAGTAGTCTTGATGCACGAACTCGAGGCACCAGAATCCACAATCCAGTGTTGCGCGAGAGCAGCAAACTTGCCAGGAGGATAAATCACGGAGGGCGGAAGGTCAGGCTGGCCCGAAGCAGGAGCGCAATTGGTAAGCACGACCTTGAGATCAAATTTGTTCGAGCCCAAAACAACATGGAACGGAGGATGCTTCACAGATGCGTCGACACAATCCGGAGGCAAGTCAAAATCGTATGCGTATAGGCGTGTTGGGAGGCGCACCACGAAGCACTCAAGGCAGCGTTCGAGCCAATTGAGGCAACTTCAGCTCGTCGTCCAGGACGGGTTGCGGAGGCAGATCCCAATGGTCTTGGGGGGGGTATAAATTGACCCGGAAGTCTGACGCGACCATACCATCGGTGCCAGACGTTAGCAGAGCCACACTCGAGTCCACGGATTGAGTAGCAAGTGCTGGGGCCGGCAGGGGTGGGCCACTGCCGAGACCAGTCGGCACGTGCAGGAGGCTAGAGGGAACGTGAGGTTGCGGAGAACGACATAATCGTTTGACAGGGCGCTCGTCAATTGCATAAGCGCAAGCTCGGGCGCTCGTACAATTAGAAGCTCGGTGGAAGACGGTCCATTGCGGCCGCCACAGTCGGCCAAGGAGGAGACAAGTTGAACTTCACGCTCACTGTGGCCACCGCAGTCCAAGTCGACAGAAACGGAGCGCATACGACGATTTGGGGCGGGAGTATTGTTATAGCGCACCTTGCGGCTGCGACCGCCATAGCCCTCGTCACGCCAATTTCGAGTGCGATCATCGCCACCCCGGTCTCGGCCGCAACTACACGGGACGTCCCGTTTGGATGGGGGGTTGTGGCCGCGACCACGCCCCGCACCAGAACCGCCCCCGCCGCAATCATGGCTGTCGTCACGGTCACGTCGGACATGGCGGGGATGGTCATCGCGTATCTTGCGTGATGACAGGCGGCGCAGCTTTTTGCCGTGCTTTTCGAAAATGTCTTGAGGCAAACCTTCACGCTTCGCACTGCGGGAATAATCTGAAAGCAGGACTTTGCAGGTGGTGAGAACATGCTCCGAGTCAGCGCAGTAGAAGCATGCGGGTCCAATATGGTCATGGCACTTGACGTGGGCGTAGGATGGCAGCGACCGACGTGTAACCAGCCCAAGGCTAGGAGGTAGAGGCTCACCAACAGCGGTATTAATCAGAAGCGACCGCGTCGATGCCGAATCGGCGGAACCGCGTTCGCCGAGAGCCAGCGACCGCAAGTGACGTGTCACCAGTGCGTCCTTGATGGCGGCGTCGATGGAAGCAATAGAACAGGGTTGTCCAGAGGCCTTTGCATTGCTCGAAATAGCTCGAACTAGGTCCCAAATTTGCTTGTCGTCTAAAAGTACCTCCAACAGTTTCAACATGTTGTGGTTAGCCCACAGGAAGGCGTCGTAGTCGACCGCAGGGATATCCAGGTTGGTGGGGATCATGGCCGAGCGGTATTGGCTAGCGATGGACTTGACGTCGGCCAACAGAGTGTCGAGACAGTCACCTTCGCGATACTTGATCTTCTGAGACTGGGTGTTTAGTACCGCAGGATCGCTAGTGAGAGGGTTATTTCCAAAACGGGACACAATAGACTTATAGAGACTAAATGGACATGTTATGTTGGAAAACAACTTCTGAAGGGAGTCCAACATGGAAGAGTTGAGGAAGGTGAGGGCCAGGGAGCGTAGACGTGACAACGCTTTCGCCGTTTCAGCCTTCAATGTAGCGCTCTTGACTGAGTGAATGTGAGCGTCAATTTCTTTATGTCGAGCAACAAGGTCGTTGCATAACAGGTCCGGATCAACAGCATAAAGCTCAGGATGCTTTAGCTTATGCATTTGGACGTCGTCGTCCAGGATACTCAATATAGCGCGTTCAAGATCAGTTGGCACATAACCTTTGGTCGTGTAGGATGGGGTAAATTCATGACCATTGGCTTGGCTGATGAACAGCGGCTTCCACTCAAGGAAAGTACCGTTCTGGTCATTCAGAGGAGGCCCATGGTAGATAGGCGCAGAGGAAGCGTGAGGGCTCATAACGTGTCACGAGGGGGCAAAGGAGGCCCAAGCACTTATGGAGTCGG